GGATTCCATTAGCAATCCCATTTGCCATAGCATTGCTCTGGGAGCTCATGCTGAGTTGCTCGTCAACTATGCACCCTAAATCTTTTTTCAGAGTCACTCCTTCCCAGGAAATAGTCCCCTGTTCTGTAGGCAGAGTGATCATTCTTTGTTCCTCGATGTTTGACCTTCCATTTGGCTGTATTAAAAGGATTTTGGTTGAATGGGCCCACTTTCTTAAGCAATCCAGATCACTCTGTATGACTGCTCTTGCCTCGTTATTATTTACCACTTCTACAATTGATGTGTCAATGGCAAATTATATCAGCAGTGATTTCATGTTTACTTCCAGGTCATTGATAAAAATGCTGGCCTAGTTTTGAAGCTTGTGGAACTTCACTAGAAATACCTTTATTTGGTGATGATTCCCCATAGACAACTACATTTTCAGATGTGTCATTCAACCAGTTCTTAATCCATTTAACATTTGCTTTATTGATATTAAAAAGTGCTAATTTTAATGAGAATGTTGTGCAATAACAAGTCAAATGTAATACAAAAGTTTTAAATATTTAAAGTTTTAAACATATAGTATCAATGAAACTTGTAATCATATCAAGAAATGAAATTAGGTTTGTTTGACAAGACTTGTTTTCCGTAAAACCATTTTGACTGTCATTAATTGTATTTCCATCCTTCAGTTTTTTATTGATTGAATACCATATCATTTTTTCCATTATTTTGCCCAGGATTATTATAAGGCTAACTGGCCTATAATTACTTGGGTCATCCTAGTTGCCCTTTTGAGTATTGGCACAACATTAGCATACTTAATTCAACAAGAGCCAAGAGGCTCTTGCTCTTTGACTTCAAAACCTATGCAATAAGTGCCTGTTATACTTTGGGTATTAGATTTAAGTGCTGCTAAATTCTGAAAAGTCACTTTGTAAAACTGTATTGCGTTTCAATGATTTGCATAGCTGATTTGCTCAGTTTTCCAATTAAAAGCTGTTCTTGAGATTTTGACCTCTGCCCCAGTCAGGGGTGTTTAGGTTGTGACTCATCCTGCAAAAACCATAAGCAGTTCAGACTTGGCTCCTGGGCTTGACTATAACCCTTTCATTCTGTTACTAGATTCTCTGTCTCCAGTGTTGCAAACAGAGTGTTGGGTTAGTGCTCCAGCTTACTCCATTGCAATCCTAGCTTTTAAAACTGATTTGTGGTAGCAGTGAAGCAAAATTACTTTTCCACGTTCTCTCCTCTCCCTCCAAGGGAGGCTTTTATTTCCAGTTTTGTGTCCTACATGGGATGTCTTCCCATCCCCATCATGGGGAAGAAGGCCAAATGGAGCAAACTGAATGCAAGAAATGCTCTCCCTATGAAAAGACCCTCTTAGGAATCTCATAAATAAAGTGCGGCCATAATTTCTCCCAGCTCCCAATCCCTGCTGTACAAGGGGAAGTCTGGGTGGCTTATTGGGGGCCTCAGCATCCCTGCATTGCAACATCTCTGCTGCTAGTTAAAACTCCTCAAGAGGTGCCTCTGCAGGAGATGGGACTTGTCAAACCAGATTGTCTTCACTTATCAAAGACACTTCAGGGATAAGTTCAAAAATCCTCTTTGGCTCCCATAAGTCAAAATAAAACCTGAAAAGGCCAAATAACATGGGGGTTGTAGGGAAAGCCATAAAGCACTCCAGATTATTATATTCTTCCATTGTCATTTTGTTCCTCTCCAAAGATGAATACCTCTCTTTCTGATTATAACCCAGAGACGGAGAAGCATGAGAGGTTCTTTCCTCTAGAGATTTTGAATGTCTTGGGAAAAAAATGATCGTCACCACTGAAGTCCAGCCAGAGAAAGAGAAGAAGATAAAGCCAAGGACAAATATCTCCCTTCCAAAACTAGGACAGAATTTCCATCCCCTACATTCCATTTTCAGCGATCAATAGCAGAGGTCACTACTAATCTCCACCATTACCCTGTCTCCTTTCATCCAATTCTACATCTGAGTTTATCTCTCTGACATCTCTCTGTACATGCTGTTGTCTTGAACTGAACGTAGTTCAGAACTAACAAAGAACTCCTTATCTTCGCTCCTGTTAATGCCACCACCATCATCCACATCTTATTCAGGTCATTCCATTTCTTCCACCTTGACATCTCCAAGATCTGTCCTTTTCTTGCTATCCCTAGTGCTCAATCTCTCATTCGGGACCTCATCTCTCTCCTCAAATACTGTAACATCTTCCTCTGTGGCCTCCCTTACACACGTCCCCCCTCAGTTCACACAAAATGCAGCCACTAAAGTCCTTTTCCTTCCCTGTGCATGGGAATGATTTGTAGGCATGGCTGGGGTGGCCAGTTTTGGCAGGAAATTTTTCTCATGTGTCGCAGACAACATGGATGAAAGTAGAAAGATGCTTAAGGGAGAAATGGACAAGTGGGCAATTGATGTTGGCTCTGTTGTCTGAGTGAATGTGGGGAGTGACAATCAAGGAGCTAACAGAGCCAATAGATGGGGTGGGCTAAATGGTAAAGGGCCTAAAAAGGCAAAGACGAGGAGCTTGAGTCTGATGTATTAAAAAATTGGAAGCCAGATCAGTGTTCCCTCTAATTTTTCCCACCCATGTGCGGAATGAATTTTGTTATGTGCATTTTGTTATGTTATGGATGTGTGACACATCACATCCATATTGGTGCACATAACAAAATTAATGTGGCGGGGGTGGGGCTGAGAGGTTTGGAGTGTGGGAGGGGGCTCGGTGCGGGGGGGTGAGGGTTCTGGTTGGGGGGGACAGGCTCTGGGGTGGGACCGGAGATAAGGGGCTCAGGGCTGGGGAAGAGGGTTGGGGTGCAGGGGGGGTGAGGGCTCCCGCTGGGGATGAGGGATGTGAGGTGCAGTGGGGCTCCCTTGGGCTATGGTGGGGAGAGAGGACTCTCACTCTCCTTCCCCTGCCCCCTCTCCCCACAGTAGCACCTGGGCTGTGTGAGAGGGGAGAGATGCCTGTCCCCCGCCCACGGCAGGTCTGGGTCGGGATGGATTGGGGCAGGGAAAGGGGCGCCTGTCCCCCAGCTCTGGCACGTTCAAAACTGGGCTGGGCTGGGACACCTGTCCCCCGGCCACGGCACTTTCGGGGCTGGGCTGGGGACTGGAGGGGAGGGGCATCTCTCCTCCCTGCAGCCCTGAGCGCCTGCACGGTGCTTGATAGGCAGCTGCGCGGCCGCGCAGCTTAGAGGGAATTTAGAGCCAGATGCAAAGAAGAAAATGATGTGTTTGGATCGATGAGCCAGGAAGATGATCCTTGCAGCAGTGCTTTGAATGGGTTGGAGCGGGAAATATATTCTTTCCTTGTTTTTCCCTAAGCCTCAACACCCAATGAAAAAGACACATGATAGTTATGAGAAGTGCAGTGTAAATATACCTTTATATAACTGATCAGTTCAGGAAAACATCATCTTTATTTATTTCCTTCCACCCTAAATGCCTGGGTCTGTGAATATTCAAATCATCTGTACATAGTCAGCTCAAATGTGGAGCATATTCAGGCACAGACAAATTGATCTGTTGGGATCAAAATACACTGCATTCATTTCAGAGTAGCATCCTGGACAGAAAGGGCTTTAGCCAGTCCAGATGAAATTTATAAAGTTGCCACCTGATTCTCTATCAACAGTTTTACAAAGCTCTCTGAGACTGACCACCATTCCTTTGCAGAAGCATACTTCTGCAGGAAGGTGTACCACATGTAGGTCCCTGAGTAACCTGTGTTAATTTTAAGGAAAGGAGGGGAATCTTCTTCTTCTTCTCTTACATAGCTCTCACTCCTATTTTTTTCTTTGATGCTCATTGCTTCCCAGATATCTCGCACTGAGAGAGAGGTTATGACCTACAATGTAAAATTAGTTATCTGATTACTTCCTTCCTTTAGGTGCTTCTACAATGGCCTCTTTTGGTGGGCACGTCTACAGTTCACATAGTGGAATAAGAGATTAGTGTTAAGAAATGTATGTTTGGAATTGAGTATTTACTTTTAACTTTGCATGGTCTTATCTAGAGACAGAAAAGAAAGGGCATGCTATGTTCTGGAGCTTTATGGACAAATCTGAACGGCCTCCAGTATTTGCAGATATTTCAGACTTGGAGAGAGGTCATTTTGAGAAGGGAAATCACCATTTTTTTCCATTTTCTAGCTTCCAATGCTGGAACTCAAACCTGCGCTTTGAAAGTTCTTCTTTTGCATTATTAGTAACCAGAATTCTGATTTCAGAATCTTTTTAATAAAGAGAGATTCTGTAGGATCTATCTTGCTTTTTCATATTTCTGTTAACTGTGATAAGCCAATAGAAGCAAAAAGTAGTTTAAAAACTTGTCATTGAATAGATACAAGAAGATCTGATGAATGCCATTTTTGTTTAAAGAAAAGGAGTACTTGTGGCACTCCTTTTCTTTTTGCGAATACAGACTAACACGGCTGTTACTCTGAAACCTGTCATTTTTGTTTAGCACCTTTTCAGAGTATAACTACACTATAAACAAAACTGTAGACTTCATGAAGCAGATATAGATCTGAATTGTACAAGGAGGTGTGAAGATCTGATAATTTATGGAAGAGGTGAACATAGTTAAAGGAAAAATATTTTTTTTAAAAAAATCACAAGATTTAATTAAAAGAAAAGAAAAGAAAAACTTCCATAAGAAGCCATATTGGACGAAAGAGGATTTAATTTTGTAGTTTTTTTTAAAAAATACATATATATAATTATTTACAATTATTATTGTCATAAAACTATCAATTTATAGTTTAATTTCCAACATATAATTTGTTGTCTTATTTCAGACTGTAGAACTAGAGGGCAGTTTAATGCATTTTCATATCACTTCCGGGGAAGACGTTCTCTTGATTATAGCTTTCAGGAGGACAAGCCCTTAAAGAAAATGAAAATGCCCAAAACAGTGAGGTAAGGATTTTGTACTAAGATATGAAAAAGAGGTGTTTTGTTTTGTTTTGTTTTTGTGTAAGGTGGAGGAAAATGGAATATTTTCTGCAAATGCACATGAGGTTCTTGCAGTCTCCAGTCCAGTCTGGGATTGATGCCTTTCACTCTGATGCTTCTAAATGTGAAAAGCAAAATTGAATGCTACAGTTTGCTGCCAACTTCAGGTCCTGTTTTCTGCTTTGGTTTATTTTCCAGCTCTAATTTTTCTAAGACCTTCAACATGTGAAACAATAATACTTAAACCCCCAGTCTTGTCTGTTTTCCTCAGAAGAAATATGAAATGTTAAGGAAAAGCAGCAGAAAATTTGGGTTCTTACTGCATCCATCAATAACAGCATCTGTTTGCCTGGAAAATGCCCACACTCCGCTGTCCCCAAAGTGATACAAGCAGGGACTACAGATAATATTTGCCCCACCTCAATGTCTAGGAACTTGCTTAGAAGCCAGAGCAGGGCAAATATTGGGGCAGTAGCATTGAAATCAGTAATAATGGGCTAGATTCTCTCATGCCAAGATCCATTCAGTGCGGGAATCGGGGAGAGAAGAGTTTTGGTTATGGCTTCTTGATTGTGCTAGTATAAGTTACATCAGCGTAGGGTCTGCTCTGGTTTATGAAAAATGGGTACTGTAGGGGACCCTATGCTAGCTGTGAACTGGCGGAGTAGAGATGGGCTCTTCTCCATCCAGATGTGCCCTTTCCCTGCCCTGACACACACCTTACTCCAATTGGTGTAGGAAGCAGTGTCGCCTGTTTTATGATATCAAGTGTCCCCTTCCAGAGGAATTCTCAAACCAGCAGTAACAGCCAGATTCTAGTCCAGCATCTGGAACTTGGAAAGGGAGAATCTGTCCTAGGGGGTTCATATCTCCAGATCTACAAGAAAGGAGGGTCTTCAGGCCCTTGCATAATAAGATTCCATCTTGTCTCCTTTTTGTCTAGAAACTGTGTTCCTTGTGTCCCAGGTACTCTGTGATTTAGATATTAAGCTGAGAATTAAGAATACTATATTCTTCAGGCATAACTCTCTCTGAAATGCTATAACAGCCCAGACAGTGTCTCAGAATCTCACCCTCATAGGCACCTTTTGAGGATGAAAAATTATTATAACTAGTGCAGCAATAGAGGACGTCATCTGCTCACTCCCACAGAGATGTTGGAATGCTCTCAGATTCTGAAAGAGTCTGAAAGAAACAAGCTTTTACATACATTTTGTCACAGACTATTTGTGTGTATATGTATAAACCTAAGACATTGTGTCTTTCTCAACCAGAGCCCCAAAACAGTTGGGACAAAATTATTCTGACTACCAAAATCTATACCAGAGTATAACCGATTCTGTTACACATTAATGCTCTCTCCAAACAATGCTTAAGACTCCGTACACTCCTTTTGTTTTTTTCATCACCACAAACATAAGGACTACCAGACTGTAGCTTTCACAGAACTGGTTTATGAATCTGAAATATCCAGTTACATGTTTACAAGGTAGGCTAGTATGTATGAAGGGCCTTGCACTTTAGCTAATACAACATTCTGCTATGAAGAGCTCATTTTAAAAGTTAAATTCTGATCAAGCCACTGTTCTGGGCCCTTCGATTCATTTCATTCGCAAGCCTGAAAGTGAGTGAGCCAAAAGAGTGATCCCAGCCTTCTCCAGGACCACCCTCCTCCCTCAGGGTCAGTTGGAAGCTCTTCTTATGAAACGAAAATACTGGGTAGGACAAAATGTGTAGTGTGACCACACTTTGGATATATAGTGTATAGTTGTATGCCAACTTGATCAACTCTTATATAACATGAACAAAGTATAGACAGGAATTTGCAGTGTATTTATTTATTTGATTTTTATAACCACGAAAAAGTGCCTATCCCTAGTTCTCAGTTCCCTTGACAATCTCTTTAAATATATATAACATACACATTAAATAAACTATCTTTCCTCAATTGCTGCCAGAACATAAAATTGTGGCCCCAGCAAATAACTAACAAAAATGTAATTGCTCCAACGGAATATCCACTAGTGTTCTTTTCCATTTTCTAGCCCAATAAATTCCCCCCATTCCTGAGCCAGGGAGAAAATGTGGGCTTGCATAGGCTTCTTGAGGATAATAAATTAGGGATGTTCTGGGGATCAGATTCCAAAAGTATAGAACCCTTAAGAAGAATGTGTCCCACCATCACCTTTTATTTTATATCAGTATGGCTCTAGCTCAGGTCCTTTTACTGACCATAATTGTGTAAATATGACTTGAGGAGAAAGGGTTAAAAATGTTTAATTTAATCCAGCAATTGTTTGGTATAGAGACCTCTTGCTATGTTATAATAAGATACAAAGAAAAAGATATCCTTGAAGTAAAAGTTGCATCTTGACTTAATGAGTCCAGCATACTCCAGTGTCCTAATAATAGTGTTACGCACTGACAAGAACCTCGAGTGCTATATAGACTCAAGATGAAGATAGTCCCTGCCTCCAAAGAATTTATAATCTAGAAGGCAAAGAGAAGTCAGGATATGCTTGGAAGCTCATATAAGGTAACAATTCAGAGGATGTTTACTTGGCTTACTTCGTGTGAGTATTGTGAAATGAGTGAACTGGAAGGCTTCAATGGTGACTCAATCAGACAAATTTGAGCATCTGCTGGCAAATTTTGCATTAGTAAAATGCAAGACTATGCACAAAAAATCATGTGTTCTTACGGCAAACAAAACATTTTATTGCTGCTTCTATCTGTCTGATGAATTATAAACAACAGTGAACAAAATTCATGTGTGGAATAACTCCACTGAGATCAATGAAGCTACACCAGGAGTGAATTTGTTGCACAACATTTCAGCCATTTTAACAACATATATATATATATATATTTAACAACACTAAAAAATCAAAGTAGGAGTAGGAATCAAAAATGCTCAACAAACACTGTAACTTTCATTTTGACTGTTACAAGTTGTTCTGAAGTAGCAGTGTATTGTAGATTATGGTTCTCCTTTCCAAGTGAACTTTTACCAACTTTTCCAAATTTCTGTAGCATAAACAATAATATACAGGCAAAAGTTCTTTGTCACATATTTATAAAGTTATAAAGAAGTTAAGTCCCATAAAAATTAAAGTCAAAAGAAAACATGAGTTTCTCCTACCCTGGTAACAAAGAGAATCTTTTGAACTTTTACAGTTAGAACAGAAATATCAATAGGAAGGAATTTCCCAGATTGGTAAGTGAGAGATGTAGAAATTACATATACAGGTAGGATGCAAGGGCTGTATTCATACTTGATGTAAAAAATGGTTTAATAATTAATACTATCTCTATTTTTACTCAATGTTATATGAAATCTATTTAGATGATATGATTAATACTGAATATGTCTATTTTCTCTGATGACTTTACACAATATTTTCATTGAAGATTGAACTGATTAAAAAGATTTTGGAATGTAAGTCTGCCAGATGTCAATTGCAATAGGCAAGTGGCTCTAAATTATTCTGTACTGTGAAAGCACTATTGACTTCAAAAGCTTATTAAATTGGAAACAGGCAAGTAAACCAACTTTTTCCATTTTCAAAGACTGAGGTTTTAAGCATAGATGCTTTTTCTGATGTCTATTCATGGGAAGAAACTTTAAAGTGAGTCCAAACACAATGCTGATTACAATAAAATCAGCAAAAAGAAAAGGAGTACTTGTGGCACCTTAGAGACTAACCAATTTATTTGAGCATAAGCTTTCGTGAGCTACAGCACTTGTGAGCTGCAGCTCACAAAAGCTTATGCTCAAATAATTGGTTAGTCTCTAAGGTGCCACAAGTACTTCTTTTCTTTTTGCGAATACAGACTAACCAATAAATCAGTAGTATTCTTTCACTCTGGATTATTGTTGGATGTTTAGCTTAACTGCTTCACTGGTTCTTTTCTCTGTGAATAGTAGGCACTGCCATGAAAATGGTATTGACTAACAACTTTTTCTGTCCCCTAACATAGTAGACATAACACTTTTAAGACTGGTTTCAGAGTAACAGCCGTGTTAGTCTGTATTCGCAAAAAGAAAAGGAGTACTTGTGGCACCTTAGAGACTAACCAATTTATTTGAGCATGAGCTTTCGTGAGCTACAGCTCACTTCATCGGATGCATACCGTGGAAACTGCAGCAGACTTTATATATACACAGAGAATATGAAACAATACCTCCTCCCACCCCACTGTCCTGCTGGTAATAGCCCATAACCCACGGGCCTGATGATCACTTTAGATAAGCTATTACCAGCAGGACAGTGGGGTGGGAGGAGGTATTGTTTCATATTCTCTGTGTATATATAAAGTCTGCTGCAGTTTCCACGGTATGCATCCGATGAAGTGAGCTGTAGCTCACGAAAGCTCATGCTCAAATAAATTGGTTAGTCTCTAAGGTGCCACAAGTACTCCTTTACTTTTAAGACTGATGCATTCTGTCCTCAAACTTCCTGTCCCTGATGGTATAAGGAGTAATACATTAATCTACCTGATCCTGAGCCCATATCCTGCTACAATGGCACTGGTGTTCTGTTGTGCTTCATAAAACTCATACAAGCAGCTGCCTACACTTAATTTATTCAAACTTTACATTTTAGATAGCCCCTATGCAAATAGCCTGTCTATTGAAAATGTGTTGGGTGAATATCCTGATCTATTTTCCTCTTGTTGCAGTTCTACAAAACAGGGTAAACATTTTAATAATGCCACTTCAGCATCTGATGAACATATAAAATTACCTGTGGTGAATGAGTTCAGAGAATTTGTTTTAGAAATGCAAAAGACCATTACAGGTCTCAGAAATCAGGTAAGAAGATGTAATGAATATTTTCTAATCTTAAATTTAATTAAAATCATTTTAAACTTTAAACAGCATATTTACAAAGAATATTGATCCTTCCCTTGCATTCCTCAATCCAAAATTTATTTTGTAATCTTTTGACAAAATGGAACACAGAGCATAGTGTACATATTATTGTTTATTTTTGCATATTTTGTTAATCTTATTTAAAACAAAGATTATACAGTTTGTCTTTGTTGATTTCTGTCACCAAAAGCTTGTGTAAGCAATGCATTCCATGTATGTAAGAAACTGTTTATGGAATTAGCTTTTTCCTTCATGCTTTTATCGTGTTTAAGACCTGGAATTTATTGAATCTGGGTTTATGGTGTGCATCTGAGTAAAATCTGTTGATTGAGCCATATCTGTGATAAACTCTGCAATTGTTATGAAATAATGTGGTATGTGCCAATTGCAATTGTAAATAATTATACCCAGGATTCAGATCTTTTTTTAAAAGACTTTTACAGTGGCATAAATTAAATCTCTTAATAATCAGACTTACTAAACTAGCCATAATAGTAGCCACTTAAAAAAGTTAATATTTATGCACAACATCTTTTACATATCAGAGAACTCCCTAAGTTGGTCATAAGGATAGAAGTTCCTTCAAAAGTACTCCACATTAAATGTATTGGGCATGTTAGTTATTTCTAAGCATATATTTGTCTGGACTGTAGTTTGACCTCCCTGTTCGCAGGTGCAATTTACACCCACAATGTGTATCTACAACCTAGGTAATTCAGCTACTCAAACTTGGAGTTGAATGACCAAAATTCAGGTACAAATTACACTGCAAAAGGAAGTCCACCCATTTGGAATTTTCACTTTATTATATCACAAGCATGATATAGTTTAGTTTATATATATAGTTTAGGTCTAAATCAGAACTCCAGATCTGAACATCTTACAGCTTTGGACAAGTTTGGATTTGGATCTGAACTGTACATACAGCCTTAGATAATTTGTAAATTGGAGCCCAAAAAGTATAAGTTCAGATGACTTTGGCGTATATTTTCAACCTTACCGTCATCATTCTACATGCAAGTGTAGTCTCTAAGGATGAGTATATATTTCCCAATAAATGTATAAACTCTTCTTTTGTAATACAAAAATTGGTATGGAAGAGGTTTGGACTCATGTAAATGGACCTTCTTATCTCAAACTCTGGCAAATTAAAATTGCCGTAAGGAAGGTCTCATATTTCCATCAGTAGAGCTGGCTGCGCAATTGTTCTCCAAAATGTAAACATTAATTTGGAAAAATAAAACCACTCTTGGCCATTTATGGTTTAACTTTGATTTAATATTTTGTATCAGTAATTACTTTTACACTCACAAAAACACTCTCTAGCCAGTAGCAAGTTACCATCATCCAATTTAGTTGTTGCATTAGTTCCTGGAGCACCCAACTAAAACTTTAAAAAAATCCTCTGAAAATTAAAATGTTCTCTTTAGATGGTAATTTAATCTTTATTATAAAAGATACTTGTTAATAAGTACATCTTAATGTAAGAGTTATAACTTTGGCATGTGGCTGCAATACTGAGGAAACCAGAATTATGATGCGACTGTCATTCAGGAGCAAACTACCCTTTTGAGAGAGAATACTATGGGCTGGCCAAGCTGCATTCAGCATTTCCATTCCCCAAATGAGAGACTGTCTTTTGGGCTGGTTCTACTACTGGTGCAGTTAAGGGTTTGTCTACACTGCACAAATCGTTTGGTGGCGAGTAGCGTATATACACTGCACGCAGCCTAGCACAGGTATAAACAGTCGATTGTGAGGCACTGCTTAGGCAGGTAGAGTACAGACATGCCAGAACACCAAGCAGTGCCTCTGCCGTCTACATTGCTGTTTTACACTGCTGGAGCCTTTCCCCATTACCGGAGCCTTTCCCCATCACCAGAGCCTTTCCCCATCACCAGAGCTTTTCATTGACAAGTGTATCTAAACATTGCATGTGGACGCAGCATGTTTTTCACTGCAGCATATAGCTACACGTATAGTGCTGGTATCCTACATGCCGCTGCCAGTGTGGATAAGGCCTAAAAGATACCTGGATGGGCTCTAAGTTGTGCCCTTCTATCTATGGTTCCAAAGGATCATTCTAACAGCTGAGTATTGCTGCAGTGCATGGGCTTTCCAGGTACACTCCCCTGCCTTAGGTAGACAGGTAAACTAGTTTTATGGTTCCTCTGCATCATTAGAATGGTCACAGAAGTCAATAAGAGTGGAGAAGTTACAAATGCTTTCAAAGTAGCCATTTATTCAGTATTCTTCAGTTGAATAATCTAATCTTCCTTTTCCTTATGGCAGTCTTATGAGTTTAGTATTCTCTCTCTACATTTGTCATCTTTTTTTGTTTGATGCTCATGTGGTTGTAGGTGTATATATCAAGGGTAAGAAAGAAAATATCTTTGTGGTTAGACTTCTCTTGCGGAGACTCTTTCTATATGTTTTGCTTGCCTCCAGCCTTTTAGTTTTTCAGCAGTTATACTAACTGAGTAGAGCTGACCAGAAAAGGGGAATCCCTTTCTGCATTTTTGAGGAAAAGTTTTGTCCCCAAAGTGGGACAAAACGTCAAAACTATACAAATTTTAATGGAAAGGGATTTCAAGAAAAGTCCATTTAGAAAGAACCAAAATGGAATATTTTGCCTTCCCAGCTGCTCTCAGGGAATGTTCTTGTTGTTTCTGCTTGTGAAATAGACATGAGCCTTCTAGTCTGGTGACCAGAGAGGCAGAAAACCCAGTCGCGTTGCCTCCCTGCCAACCCCGGAGCTTCAGGAGGCGCTGTGCCTCTCCAGTCCCCCAGCGCTGGGGGGAAAGTGGATGGCTGGAAACCCAGGCTCTGTGCCTCTCCATCACCTGGAGTTGGGAATGTGGGGGGGAAGCAGAGTGTCCTGGCTCTGGGCTTCTCCATCCCCTGGATCTGCTGGGTGGAGAGGCAGAACTCCTGAGGGTTGTGCCTCTCTATCTCCTGGAACTGGGGAGAGTCAGAGCGGCCTGTGCTCTGCTGTGTTTCAGCAAAAGTTTTGCTAAATCTGTAATAGATGAAGTGAAACATTTCACCACGCCAAGTCTCCATTATATCTGACCAGATCTAAAACTGAGTAATCAGCCAGATGAATCACATGAATGTTGTTAGGGGATTGTATATAAGGTTAAGGAGAGAGTACGTACCTTAAGCAGGAAAAGCTTTACTTTGGTTCAGTTAATAACTTACGTATTTTCCGTCTTCAGATAAAGAAACTGGAATCACGTCTCAGTAGAACTGATTGCACTGATGAAAAGGGTAAATCACACTCCAACAATGAAACCTGGAAAAGGGACCCTTGTACTATGTGTGAATGCAAAGTGAGTATGCTGGACTTCATTTTCAGTGTTTAAGACATATTGTGATTTGTTTTTGAGATGCAGCCTCTGACGATGTTGTACCCACAATTTTGTAGGTTCTCGTCATTGTTGATTCAATATGTATCTGCAGTTAGTTGCTGGGGAAATTGACACCATTCAGACATCCATCAATCTAACAGTACTTACAAAACTAATAATTAGACATCTACATAACCTAATTTCCATCATTTGGCTGGTGCTAAATTGTACTTGCAAAATTGTGGGTAAAAAGGGGGAGGCCCAGAAGAAGCCTTTCCAAAAGCAGCCTCTTAAAAAACGTAAAAATTGGTAAAAGCTCATATACCAAAATGTTAATACTTCCCTTGTTTTTTTTTACCTTTAGTGAAAGAAATAAAATAATGTAATGTAGGAAGAAAAAAACTTTGGCTTTGTGGGATCCCTGAACTTTATGAGTGAACTTTAGATGATAAATCAATATATAACCTTTAA